CTCCGCCGAAGCCCTGCTGCAAACAGCCTGCATCGTTTAGGGCTTCGGGTTTTGGGTAGACTTTCGGGTTTGGCGGTTCAAGCCGTGCCGAAACCTCAAGCAGCGAACCCGGAAATCCCAAAGCCTCAAACCAACTCTGCCCCAAAGCCTAACCCCCAAGGATTTGTTGCAATCCTATGTTGTAGTGAAGCCTAGTGATATTCTGAGGTTGCCCTGGCCTCTTGAGGTGGGAGCTATCAGAGCCCCCGTGAATAGCCTCAGTTGTGCATGAAGCAGGCCTAAACTCCAAAGCCTGAACCTAAACCCTAAACCTTAAACGCCAAAACCCAAACCCTAAACCTAAACCGTAAACCTAAACCGTAAAGCTTAAATTCCAAAACTTATTTTTAAACTCCAATGCCTAAACCGGAAGCCTTCCGAAGGCTGCAGCCAGAGATATCCGCAAGCAGGGCGTGGGCGCCACGGGGACGAAGGCCACGGCCGCGGCTTTGGGATTTTAGGTTTCGGGTTTCAGGGTTTTAGGGCTTAGGGTTTCGGAAAGTCTGTTTTGGGTTTAGGGATGAGGTACGGTTTGGGTGTCCGAGTTGGGGGGCAAAAAAGTGCCACCCTAAGCTCACTGATCCCAAGATGCGAAGCCTAAAGCGTCCCAAGCCCAAAAATCCCAGGCCCCAGACCCTAGACCTTTAAACCCTAAGCCCTAAACCCCAAAGCAAGGGTGAGCCAGGCCCTGGGCCTTCTTTGCTCCACGGCGCCATTTCACATCCTGGCCTTGACGCTGGCAGGCGCTGAGCTTGAGGGCTCCTTTCAGGGACAAGAGGATGATATTTTTAAGGGTTTTGTGCAGATTTTGTTTGGGCTTCATACGGGGTTTTTGAGGGTTTCAGGTTCAAGATCTAAGAGCTTGAGTTGGAGAAGAGTTGGCTAAGAGTCCAAAGGTCTCGGGCTTATCTTCGCATCTTCGCTTGCGATGACTACAATGCTGCTAGTTTTGGTAGATGCCAGGCGCTGCTAGACAACTCGCTAGTTACAATACTACTGCTAATTACCATTAAGACTACTACTGCTACTGCTGCTGCTGCTATGACTACCAGTAGTACTAGTATTACCAGTACTACCACTGCTACCAGCACCACCAGTACTACTAGTATTACGACAACGACGACGGCCGCTGCCACTGCTACTGCTACTGCTCCTGCTCCTGCTGCTGCTACTACTGCTACTACTACTACTACTACTACCACCACTACCTACTACCTACTACTTACTACCTATTATCTACTACTTGCTTGGTACAATCTGCTATTTGCTGCTACTGCTACCGCTTCGGCTTCTGCTTCTGATTCAGTTGTGGCTTCTATTTCTGTTGCTGCTTCTACAGCGGTTACGTTAGTTGCCAGTCTTCTCCTGCATGTTTTTTTTTGTTTTGCCAATTGAGCATCTGGCCTCAAGCACCCTCGAAGGTTGTCTTCGCCGTAGAAAGCAAGACTTTGCCGAGTAGTTGCTCCAGCATGGCCGCAACCGGCGAAGGCCTCGTGCTTATTCTTTAGGTTTCGAGTTCCCAAAACCTCACCTCCTTAAGCTGCGAGATGTCACGAAGGCGAGTGGCTGATCAAGCTTGAGCGCGGCTGGAGTGCATGGATGGTGGGGGAGCAACAGTTCCATGGCTCTACGGATGAATCCTTCCGCTACAACTTTGGCAAAACGGAGTTCCAGGTGCTGCCTCCGTACGACTAGGAACTTAAAAGTATTGTGGCCGTTCTCCTTCCTTGCTTGCGTTGTCTGTTGTGTGCCTTTCGGTAAACCATCCTGCGGCGATGGCCCAAATCCCTTAACCCTAAACCCTAAACCCTAAACTAAAAACCCTTAAAAACCTTTAAAAACACCTAAAAACACCCCAAAACACCTAAAAACACCTAAAAACCTAAAGCCCAACAGCCCCAACCCTCCACGCCCTAAAAGCCCTCAAGAGGTCGACTTCCAGAGCGGGAGCGAGGGCACCTCTACAAATTTGTCCACGGGCAAGGTCCGGCAGATTTGCTTTGTGCCACGAGGCCATGCGCTGGTGAGGGCTGCAAGGGTTTAGGGCGTTAAGGGCTGAAGGGTTTAAGGGTTTAGCGCTGAATAGGGGGCTTTTCAGGAGAAGGAAGAGCTGAGCTGGATACTGCTCTTTGGGGCTTTAGGGATTGCGCTTTTTTTGTGCTTGGCCGTCAGCCTTCGAGTCTGATCCCCATTTTATCAAGTGCAACCCAGCCCTGATCTTCACACCCCCAGGCCAGTCACCTCCTAGCATGGAGCGCGAGCCGGAGAGTTCCGTGCAGCCGCAGGCTCTCTTTTTTCCTAGATGTTTTCCAATGAACTCATCAGTTACTAGGGTTTAGGGGTTCGGGGCCGGCAACACCAAAGGAGGCCGCAAGCCCAAACCAAGAATCCTAAGAATCGATGCTTCCTCTGCCGACGCACGCACCGTCTAGCTTCCCTGTGTAGGGCCAGACAGTCGGCAGCACTTGGCACTCTCAAAGCGGCATATTTTCGCGATTTCGCGAAGTTATGTTTTGAGAATGGTTCTCAATGTCTTCAAGCGGCGGGTGGGTGTGCATTCGGGTTGGAGCTCTCAAGCGCGAGCCCTGAAAATCCAAATCCTGACGCCCAGACCCTCAGCAAAGTGCACCAAAGCTGCACCCGAAGTTCCGCAACCCCATGACATACGGCCTTCTACGGGCGCGCGACAGCGTTGACATCCTCCCATCCGCCAGGGCCTCTCCACCCCTCCAATACAGGAGCCGAGATGGCAAGCGTGGCAAGCCGTGGACACGGGCTATGCGCGAGAACCGCAGGAGCGCGAGTGTCGGATGGGCTAAGAGGCGCCAGGAAGCTCTGTCGCCCGGGTACGGCACACAGCCTGGGCACTGAAGCCTGGAAAGAGGCTTCAAGGACAAGCGTCCCAACGCCCTAAACCCTTAAACCCTTAAACTTAAACCCTAAACCCCTAAACCCTTAACCCTAAACCCCTAAACCCTTAAACCCTAAACCCCTAAACCCTTAAACCGAGGTGGGGCTGGTCCCAGTTGTGAGTGCTGAAACCGAGGTGAAAGAGGCGAGCGACCGACCCGTGCAGGCCACGAAGGCGGACAGCAACCTCCCGACGTGTTCCCTGACTTTGGGTTTAGGGTTTAGGGTTTAGGGTTTCCCGTATGTTGGGGGTTCCTGAGACATGGGGTCTAAGCAGGGTGATGTTGCAACAGGGTCTTGTGGTTTTGGGTTGGCACTTTGGCCTAGGGGCTTTACTGTGTTGGCTTCGATTCATGTTCCAAGTTCTTGGGCGCTGCAGGCTTGCACGTTCGTTCCGCTCTTATGTCGGACTTCTTTCTTCTGCGATGTACAATGCAGTATACTGTGGCAAAATATAATTAGCACAATAAAGTAACACATTGTCACAAGGGCAACCCTAATGCTAAGACCTGACACAAGGCTATTACCTCGCAGCTGGCACATCAAGCCAGTCCTACGACGGCGAGTACCACTGGCTCATTGAGCTCGAAAAGGGATGGAGCCCTTGGATGCCGGGCAACGAGCCCCGGATACTGTTCAGAAGCGTTCTTTGATCGGATGAATAGATGGATGTCCATGCTACAAGTAGTGGGCATGTCGCATGTTCCTTGTTGAACTTATCAGAGCAAGCCAGGAGCCCTTTGATGGGAATACGGATCAGCCTCTTCGGTACACCCTGGGACGGTACGACTTCGAAGTCCATTTCGAGGATGAAACCCACGGAACACAGACCAACCTCACTACCGGCAAGGTGAGGCGCATCCAGTGCTTGCGGAAGGGAGAGCCCGTCCCCACCTGGGAAGGCACCCTGGTCAATCTTTTCTTGTTTCGTGTTTCTGACCGGTGTACGGCATAGTAACTTCATCATGTCCGAGGCACGGGAATCCGCAGACGGCCTGCCAATGGCGCTGGAGCTGAACTGGCAGCCGCACCAGCCGAGTCGGCGGCCATGGCCGCGCAGTCAGACCGTCTCGGGCGGCGAGCACCGGCGGCGTACCCTTCTGCAACCACAGGGGCACCCGTCAAGGGCACGCAGAAGTTTTCCCTCCGCACTTCCAAGCCAGCTGCCGCCACGCGGCCTCAAGTTTCGGAGGCGGCACACAATGCGAGTGTCCCGCTCCGCGGTCCCAGCTCCACTCCCGCCATGACGACTGGGGGGACAATGCCGCGCTTCATGCGGCCACTGAAGTCCAAGCCCTGAGATGGTAGTATGGTAGGTCCAGAATTTGCATCGAAGGTTCTTGGACCGCTCGCTTGCTCAGGCACGTGACCTGTCTCGCGGAAGAGGTGCCAGGAATCTGCATGATTGTCTTTGGCATAAATTATCCGTTCGCATCCTTTGGGTATCTGTACAGCACTCGAGGTTCTGCGAAGTTAGCCGCAGAAGACACAATGCCTTCTGCACCTTGCGCACTCCATCTGTGCAAGAGAGCTTCGAAGAAGCCTTATCGATACTGGTAGGCGCTTACGTTGTTTGGATGTTTCTGGAAAACTCGAAGCTGCAAGCTTGATGATTGTCTTCTTGTTCTGCGAGCTTGCGGTGTTTTTGCCCTGGCTCGATAGGACAGCCTAGTTTCTATCTGATGCCCCCTGTCCTGTTCGGAACAAGCCTGCTGCTCCAGGTCCTAGCCTTGATCCCTTGGCCCAAACAAACAAGAAGTGTGGAGTGGTTTGGGGTTTAGGGTTCAGGGTTTAAGGTGCTAGAAGATGCCCCGAACAAGCTCCTGCAAATATTCGCACAAACTCGTCGCAAAATCTGTCACACCAGCGACGGAAACGCGAAACCCCCCAAGTCTACAAGGCCAAGCGGCCAAGCCTTCCCAGGATGTCGGGTCACAGTTACCCTAAACCCTATAAGCCTCAACCCCCTACACCCTGGCCGCCTGGCCCTAAACCCTAAACCCTATAAGCCTCAACTAAGCCCAAGCCCCCGGGCCAAACTTGAAGATCAGGCCTGGGCGAGAAGGGTGAGGGCGATGATGTCAAGGCGTGTGCGCATGCCTCGGAGAGGATCTCGAGAGAACAGCTTTGATACATCTTACTAGATTCAACTTGATTGTTTTGATCAGCTTATTGTTTAAACACGAGCAACTATGAAGTCAAATAGTTGGTATGAAAGGTGTGTCGGATTTGTGATGCGTTGGCGGTGTAGGGTCAAAGAACGCGGACCAGAAGAATTGAGGGTTGGACGTTCTCGACTTCTGAGGTGGCTGGTGGGAGTGTGTCGGAGTGCAGCCTAAAAGTGGTGCATGAGCTCTTACGACGTCTCCACAGGAGTTTTGCAGGGAATTTGGGTTACCTTCCTTGGTGTCGTTAGCACAAGAATCACACGAATCACACTGCTCAGTGTGTATATTAGAGAAAACTTCCCATTTCGCTCTACGTTGGCCGAGCGCAGGAGAACAGTTTGCCCCAGAATGTTCGCTTCACGCTCTTCGGTTTTAGGATTTGTGGGGTTTGAGAGTCTGGGGTCAGGGACGGTGACAGATCCACCGGGGCTCGCCCCTAGGCCCTGCGAGGCAAGAGAGAGAGAGAGAGAGAGCCGTAGTCTGAAGAGATTAAGAGACAGGACCCTAGACCAATAGCCAGGCCTCACTCTTCTTGAAAGAAAGAAAGAAAGGGGAGCGAGAAAGGTTTAGGGTTTGGGGCTTTAGCTCCCACTCCAGCCTTGACGAAAGAAGAAGGAAAACGATAGATGAACCGATAGATGCGGCGAGACCAAGTAGATCAACTAGACAAAGACCACGATGATCCTCAATTTTTCAGCCCGAGCCTGAAGAACAAGGCTGACATTCAGGGTTTAAGGGGTTTAGGGTATGGGGTTTAGGGTTTAGGGGGTATAGGGGGTATAGGGGGGGAAAGGGGGTATAGGGGGTAAAGGGGGTGTAGAGGGTATAGGGGGTATCGGGGGTATTGGGGGTATTGGGGGGTATTGGGGGTATTGTGGTTATGGGGGTTTAGGGGGCTTAGGGTTGTGATCTTGAATAAAAACAATGCTTCCCCAAGCGCCCCAGGCCTTGACTCAGCAAAGGGTTTCGATTTCGGCGGGCTCAACCCCTGCCGCCAAGGCCAACTTCATTGAGCGTGTCAACGCAGCGGTGCTGGAAGCCTTGCCGGCAGAGCCGAAACCTTACTATTTGTTAGGAACTGTCAGGCATTGCCATCGCACGATCCTGGGCACCACAGTCACTGGACTGTTTGTCGAGAAGTTCCTGTTGCATAGGATTCTGTCCCTTTGTTGTTTGTGCTTCATTTGCCCTTTCTGGCGTGTGGCTGTGTGCGTACAATCCCGTTTCCCCATGACACCCGTGTCCGACGAAGCTTCATGCCAGCATGTGCCAACGGCCCGTGTTCAAGAAGGCCCAAATTTCGATTGCCAAGGCTTGGCATTCACGGGTTAGGATCCATGCCTTCTCAAGACCCTTGCACCTAACTCTTGAATGAAAAAGGCTTCAATACCAATAGCCTCAATGCCAAACCCTAAAACCTGTGGTGCTATAGTTCTGAGTTTCCTTTCTGCGCTCCTGCACATCCCTGCTATGCGGGCTCGTCCGTGCAATGTAAGAGGCAACACACCTTCAAGACGTGAAGCCTTAAGCACTAAAGCACCGAAATTCTTGCCTTAAGCCTTGAACCCAATGGCCCAATAGCCGCTAATCCTAATTTGCAGAGCCTTTCACCTCCCGAGCAGCTACGATGTACAATGCATCTAACCATAAACCCCGCTCCTAGTTTCCTGAAGTCCAAACCCGGAAGCCAAACCTTAATCACTAGATTCTTAAAACCCTCGCCCTGGAGCCCTGAACCTTGAACCGCCCCCCCCGAACACCAGCCAGTCCCCTAGTCATCCCTGAGCGCTTTCGTTGCCTTTGCTTACATAGCGTGCCTCATGGTGAAGCCTTAAGGCCATGCATGTTTGTCAATCAAAACCATCAACCCTCCTAAACCCTCACAAAGCTTGAAGTGTACCAAGTCAAAACCCAACCCGAAGCCCCGAAGCCCCCAAACTCCAAGCTTCGAAGGCCCTAAATTTGAAGCTACTAAACCCCAAACCCTGGCCTCCCAAGCTCTTAAACCCTTAAACCCTCAAACCCTAAACCCTAATCCTAAATAAACACCAAGTCCGAAACCCCTAAACCCCCAAACCCTGCAGCCGCCTGAAGCCATCGCTGAGGCAGCTCGTTAAGCTGGCAGAGGCCTGTGCCAAGCCAGGGCTCTCAGATGGCTGAGAGCCGAAGCTGGGGTTAGGGATTGGGGTTCACGGTCTGGGGGTTTAGGGATTTATGGGTTTAGGGTTTAGGGGTTTTAGAAGTTGAGGGCTTTAGCGTTTTAGGGTTTGGGGTTTTAGGGTTTTCGAGTTTAGGGTTAAGTACTGAATGGCTGTCGTCGCTCCCTCGATCGCCTTGGTGCACTCAGAACGTCCCTGGCAGAAGGGTTAGGGCGGACAAGGGTTCCTCATCAAAGGTTCCCCATGTTGGGTTTCTTGTCAGGGGTGTCTGAGGGGACCAGTGCCGCAATTCCGGACAGGGAGTCCTTCTACAGATTTCTGTTTTGAAGGTTCCGTATCAAGGGCAGGGAAGGTTCCTTGTCAAGGTTTTGACTTTCAGGGATCTTTGCCACGGGTTGGGCTTGTGATTGAGGAATGTAAGGAAAGGTTTCAGGGTTTGTATGGAGCTTTGTTGAAGAGATTCAGGGCTTGGTGTATTGCGGTCCCTGCTCAAACAAAGGGCTTTCAATACAGCAGCACATTGCATTAGCAGAGGCTGCTGGTGCATTGTAAATCTGCAGCCCCTTTTTCTCGTTAGTCTCTCGCTGCTCAGGTCCAAAGCGGTCGCAGAGACCATTTTGCCCACAGTGGCAAAGGCATGTGCAGGGGCTGGCTTCTGAGTACCTGATGGCAGTTGACTGCATTACTTGTGCGCCTCAGGGATGTGCTGACCTCTTCGGTCACGGTTGTTTAGGGATTCCTGGTCCAAACTGCCGAATGTCTCTTGCATCCTTCAGGTTGCCGAGTAATTGTCTCGAAGAATTTTATCGTGAAGCGACATGTGCAGAGACGGTTCATGCTACATGCTGGTGTTCTGCCGGAATCGTTGTGGGGGCGTGCAATGATTGGGTGAAGGATGTGGAAGAGAGGCTTCCAGATCACCAGGCAAACCCAAAACAAACGGACGTTCGAAACTTAGGTCCCTCGAACCGCATGAACCGCCATTTCTCCACGTTCAGAACTCCTTTGGGTCCTGTGATTGCCTGTTTACTAGTGGCGCTGGTTGCAGACTCAGGGGCTCTTGGTGACGTTTGTCGGAGCCAGACTCTGAAACTAAAGGTATCTTGAGAGTTTCGGGTTAGTGTCAGGGCATGCTAGAGCTTAAGCTTCAAGACCCAACAAAGAGCATGTCATGAGCTGTCACATGTTGCGGTGTCGGGTAAGCCCCAGAGACCACACCCCGGTGCCTTGCATCCCAAACCGACAGCAGCCCTGGACCCTCTCCCTTTACTTGACGAACCACCCCGAAACCCACTAACCCTAGCCAACCCTTAGCCTCCCCCAGGCCGTTCCTAGCTGGTCCATGGACGACGTCTCGAAGCTTCTCTTCGCTCTAGCAAAGGCAAAGCTCCCAGAAGCCGGAACCCGAAACACCAAATCCTAAACCCCTCGGTGTCCTTCTCGAGGTTCCTTATGAGACCGTTCTGCAGCAAGAACCCTTGAAGAAGAACGGCCGAGCTGGGCTACTACATTTCAGGGCTTCATGTGTGCTTGTGTGTTCCTCTGTTAAAAGATATTCATATCTATTAACCTATTTGCATTTATGTATGTATGTATGTATGTATGTATGTATGTATGTATGTATCTATCCATCTGTCTATGAATCTATCTATTTATCTATCTAGTTATCTATCTACGCATCTATCTAGCTATCTACCCATCTATGTACCAATCTATCTAGCTTTCTACCGAATCTATCCAGCTATCTACCTATCTATCTATCTGTCTATCTTTAAACGAGGGCATTTACAAAGGCTCTGTGAACCCGGAGAGCACCATGCCCCATAATTGGGCAATGAACCGCAAGTCATGTCTGGTAGGATGAGTTTAAGAAATGCTCATGATTCAGCATAGTTGGCTACGCATGAAGACGTTGCAACACCCTCCCACTTGGCTTTGCGGATTCAGGTACAATCCTTACACACGACCCACTGAACTTGATAAAGAAGCAACACAGCCTACCACCCTCAGCCATGAACCCCGTGTTGTAGGTCAAAACCGGTGGGGACCTGCCGGAGATTTCTGAGCTCTACGGCCGGGCGGCGGAGGCTCAGGGTTACCTCGTTTCAAGACTTCTCCAAAGCTCTAGTTAACGCTCGATCCGAATAATCAAACTCGACTAGTAAGGAGGTACTAGTACCAGTACGGGCGGCGCGGTCTTTTTAAGGCAAGAGCTGTATTAGCAGCAATAACGGTAAGAAGCAAAGTTTACGATCCCAGCAGCAGAAGGAAGGGGTGGTGGTAGCAGAGCAGTTGTAGTAGCAGTAGCGGCAGTGGTAGCAGTAGCAGTAGCAGTAGCAGTGGCAGTGGCAGTAGCGGTAGCAGAAGTAGAAGTAGTAGTAGTAGTAGTAGTAGTAGCAGCAGCAGCAGCAGCAGCAGCAGTAGGAGCAGCAGCAGCAGCAGCAAGAGCAGGAGCAGGAGCAGGAGCAGGAGCAGGAGCAGGAGCAGGAGCAGGAGCAGGAGCAGGAGCAGGAGCAGGAGCAGGAGCAGCAGCCGGCGTCGTTGTCGCCGTCATAGTCGGGGTGGTGACGATAGAAGTAATGGTGGCAGCTTCAGCAACGAACACCATCAGTTGGAGCCGTGACAGCAGTTGCATTAGCGGTATACTCAGCATGACGTTTCCACGCAGTTACCTTGAGCTCTCCATTCTAAGGCTTTCTACAGCCCAGAATTCAAGAACGCAAGGGTGCGTCCCAAACCTTCGTGTCCACGGCGCCAAGCTGTTTTTCGGTTTAGGATTTCGGGTTTCTCATTCCGTAAGTCTTCACTAATCGGGTTGTAGGGTCTCGGTTGTTGCCACCATGATCGTCTACGGCAATGGGCAATGGGTTTAGGGTTTTAGTGAAGTTTTAGGGTATGGAATGAGGCGCTGTCATTCCACAGGCCGATAGTTCGAGTCGCCAAAGAGCAAGCCTTCCGTTGAGAGCTCCCCAACTTGTACACCCTAAAGCAAGCCCTACACTGCCGAAGCTTCAACCTTAAGTTGCGATCTGCGTTTCGTCCTGCGATTGTCTGTGACTGTGGGCGGAGGTGGCCGGGGTCGGACAGCAGGTAGGCAGTGGACCAAAGGGTGTGTGTGTGTGTGTGTTTATGCTGGAACTGATGAAGGTCATACAGGAAGCCCCTTAAAACCTACTCCTAAGCTCTATATTGCCTTGCATCCCGAGCTCGAAACCCTAAACCTGAAACCTTAACTAACATTAAATCAAACATCATCTGCAATGGGCCATGTCCAGGCAGGCGACAACTGCCTCGTGGCCCACTGCTCCACGGAGAAGTTCCAAGGCTCCCCGGAGTTCGGTGGAGAGGGGTCCCTTTTTGGATACCGGTTGGGTTCTTGGTGCCCATTTTAACGTTATACTATCATTACAATAAGGAACCACCAAAATAGTGTTGCTAAGTATTTAGGCCGTTGAAGCAGCGGGTCCTCGGCTTTGCGTCCCCAGATTTCTTCTAATGATTCTAATTAACGGCGGAGGTCGGACCTTTCGTAACCCCAGAGCTCGACAGTCCACAGCTGCAAGAAGATACTTCCCAGGGCACAAAACGCAACAAGCCTTGCAGTCGTCCCAGGTCATAGGTAGAATCCTGAATTCCACCGAAACCGAGGTTTCTCCTCCAATTCTGCCTGCTGCAAATGCGGAGGAGGGTTTAGGGGCAAACCCGAGCCCCAAAAAAGCCAACCAAATAAGCCACAAGATCTACAATCTTGGGACGCCGCGATCAGGCCAAGAATTTGGACGACGAGAATCCCTGCAAGCGCCTAGTCACAGTCCAGCGCATGAGTTCTGGGGGAGGCTTCGACACCCAACTCGCCAGCTCACCTCAACCCCTAAACCCTCTGATCCCGACACCCCAAACCCCCAAACCCCTAAA